ACCTCCCAACACCCCACCTTCCACCTTCCACCTTCAGCGTCCTGGCTCTGAGGGGAAAGAGGTACCTGGCTGAGTTCTGCTCCCATGGGAGGAGGTGCTGGCTGGGCAGGCCCTGGGGGCTGTGTGTCCCCAGCCCGTGTTCCAGGGCTGTGTGTCCCAGGGCTGTGTGTCCCCAGCCCGTGTTCCAGGGCTGTTATAGCCTCCCTGCACGTGACAGCAGAGCTGGAGCTGCAAGACGACTCCAGCACTGAGAGGGACCCGCTGTGTGACAGCAGGGTCAGCAAACAGCAGGAGAGCTCCTGGAGTTCCCCACATGGAAAATTTCCCGGCCTGTCCTGACCTGACGAACCCCCCGATGCAAATGTGACGTGGGGGCATCGATCCAAGGGGGATCTGAGCTGCCAGGGCTGGGAAGAGGCTCTAAATCACCCTCCTTGCTGCCCTGGCAGCCCGTCAAGGGGCTGGGAAAACCCTGCCGCCAATCCCGGAAAATGCCATCCCAGGAATCCAAAGCAGGAGCTCCTCAGCTGCTCTCAGGGATAAGGAATGACCTCAGAACAGAGGGAAAGTTCATTGTGAGCAACCATCCCACTGCTCAGGGACAGTCATCCCACTGCAGCACACAGAAATAAATATCCGGAGTTGGGAGGGACTCACCAGGACCATCCAGTCCAACTCCTGGCCCTGCCAGGACACCCCAACAATCCCACCCTGTCCCTCAGAGTGTTACCCAAACCCTCCTGGAGCTCTGGCAGCCTTGGGGCCGTGCCCACTGCCCTGGGGAGCCTGGGCAGTGCCCAACCACCCTCTGGGGGAAGAACCTTTCCCTGATACCCAACCTGACCCTGCCCTGGCACAGCTCCAGCTGGGTTTCAGGTCACCTCCAATCCAGAAATTTCCCATGGAAATGAACTCCCTGGAACCCTGCTGGGTTTTTTATGGCATCACCCAGGAGATTGTCTCTATTCTGTGCCAAATACCCCGAAAAACAGGCCGAAGTTTAGGTTGGGATTGCAGGGATGTGCTCGGAAAAGAAAATGTACCCACAGCTGGAAGGAGCAGCAAACACTGCACTGACACAGGCTGCCCTGAGGATGGGAATTCCTCCTGCTGGGAGCAGAGGGCAGGGCAGATCCTGGGCAGGATCCCCTGGGCCATCCGGGGCTGCGCTTTCACTTTGAGTTATCTCAGGAAAGGGTAGGACAGGGCTTGTGATTCGTCCAAGCCTCAGCTTTATCCGGCTGATGTCAACCTTCCCTGCCCTGCTGTGCCTTGTGATCCGCAGTTCCTGAACACCTTGAACTTCCTGAGAGCCGCCGGAGAGAAAAAAACCAAAAATAAACCCGAAAATAAATGTCAGAACAGCACCTTAATGGTGTTATTGCATCGCTCCGGGACGGCACGGGAGCCCTCCCTGCCAAAAGCAACTCGCAAAGAAAACGGAGAGTCGCTGTTTGGATGCAGCAAAACGATTCTAATGAGAAAAAAAAAAAAAAAAAAAGTTGGTTTT